AGGTGATTGGTATTATGTCTATTGAAATGGCTGGTGGTGTTTATTGTTCATTGTCACCTCGAGATCCACAACATCGTTTGCATGCTTTCATACAACAAACACAAAGTCGCCTTCTTTTTGTTCATTGGCTGACAAAAATGAAGTTTAATGATGATATTCTTTCAGCTGATATTCATTCAATACTCGCTAATAATAATGTAATGAGCGATACTGATTTTGATCGACTATCAAAAATTATAGTCAAACCTAATGATATTGCTTTTATCATTTTCACAAGTGGTTCAACGGGAATACCGAAAGCGGTAAGTAAATAGCAGAATGTTTGTGTTCCGTACCTATTTCTCTTCATTCTAACAGATTCAGTATCGCCATGAAAATTTCATTCGTTTTATATATTCATTTGGGAGTGTTACCACATTGAAGAGCGATGATTTGGTTGTCCAGATCGTTCGATGTACTTATGACGGTCATCTTCGACAAATAGTTGGTATTTTCTTAATTGGCGCTACATGTGTCATGCTACGTCCAAGAGGAATGACCGATTTTGATTATCTAGCTGATGTGTTATACAATAAACAGATTACTCATTTCAGTACTGTACCAGTTTTACTTCAAACCTTTTTCAGTTTTCTCATTCAGTATAAAAGAATATATGCTGTGAAATATCTCCGACTACTTTGTAGTGCAGGTAAGTAAAAACAGATGGTTTTCAATATTTCCTTCGTATTGCACTTTTGTTTCGATAGGAGAAGCACTTCCTTCCAAACTGATTGATCTGGTTCAGGAGATTAATATTCATAATTGTATTTTCTGGAATTTATATGGTCCCGCTGAAGCTACTATAGTTTCTACCTTCTACAGACTACATCCCATGGCTAATAGACAAAGTATTTCAATTGGTACACCACTTGCTAATTACCAATGTATGGTTATAAATGAATTTTTACAACAATCAATCACCAATCAAGACGGGGAATTGTTCATTGGAGGTGTTGGTGTCTTTGCTGGTTATCTTGGACGTGATGATTTAAC